GTTATCCAATATAAAATGGTCAGCCCTAAACACATACATACAAGTAACATTATATAGACACATCAAACTATATTTGGGAATATAAATGCATATATGTATATGCATGTATGAAAAATTACTAGGAAATAGGCCAATTTGAAAGAGGAAAAGCAGAGTATGTGGGAAGGTTTAGATGGAGGAGAAAGGAGGAAATGATATAAACATATTAAAGTCTCAAAAAGAAAAGAAACAAAGGATCTTTTGCACATCTGTTGACAAAATGAAGTCTTTCCCTTCTTTATACTAATTAATTAGCATTATTTTTATAAGTTATACTATATACTTAATTCTAATGTGTTCAGAAGTCCTATCATTAACTCTGAGTGTAGTTTAGACTAGATATACAGAGATTGAAATAGCAACCCAGGTGTTGCTGTACTCCCTCAAAGTGCCCAGCTTATGTCAGAGAGGCAATTTTAAAGGAAATATAACATCAAATCCCACGAATATTCATTCTTTTAAAAACTAAAGATTTCATATTTCTCAAATGTATATGTTTTGGGGACTGACCACTTGGCAATGAATAATTAATCAGAGCAGTTTAACCTTTGAGAAGATGGTTCAATGGGTTTTATTTATATATTTGTTCATATAACACACACACACACATTACACACATGAATACACATGAGCCAATACTAATTAAAGAAAAAAGATCAATAATTTGAGAGAAGCAGGAAAGGGACTGAGGAAGGATTGAAAGAATGAAGGGAGAAATTATTTAAATACAGTATACATATATAAAATTTTAAAAAGAAAAGAAAAACTAAAGATTGAAGAATAAGAGGAGGGAAAGAATTTAAATACCATGTGTCTTGGAGTATATTTTTGGCAATATACTAAATGACAAAATATGGTCATTTTACTTGGTCTGCTCTATATGTTCTATTTCAAATTTGTCTACATTTGCTTTATCTTTTCCAACTGATCTCACCATCCTTGTTATTTTAATTGGTGTACAGGATGAGTGGACAGGTCTAGTCTGTCAGAGTACTTGAACCTGGGTTTGCACCAAATCATGTATTATGACTAAACAAATATCAAACTCTCTTGCTTATGACAAAATCCATAATAGAACAAAAATACTATCAACTGGAGTTGTCCATTGTTCTTGATTTATAAATTAATTCCACAGATACTGGGAGGAAAATTAAACTGTTTTAAACACTCAAATCTAATGGACACAGTCTGGTGCACGAACAGAAATGATACTGAAGAAAGAAGATTCAAGGACACCCTATAGGAATTGTTTTTAATAAAAGACAGGAGGTTTGGGGTGGAATTGGGAGGGGTGGGGGGCTGGAAGGTCATAATCAGGATATGTTATTATATAAGAGAAGAATAAAAAATAAAAAGGAAAAATGTAACTTTAAATGACTTAAATATAAAAAAGTTTATTTGTTAGTAATATAAAGAAAATACATTGATTTCTTATTATTACTTAGAATTATTGAGAAAATGAAAAAATATACAGAAACTAATTTAATATTTATCAAATAAAAACCTCACCCTTCCTTATAAAGGGATTAAATTTTGTTTAGAGTGATGTCTCCCCTCTGTAGTATGCATACTGGATCCCATGAATGACTCCATAAATTACCAATGAGGAAAAATTGAAGAATATGTAATCAAAACTTGACATTGGAGAACAAATAGGTAGTTATTTTGTTTCCTTATTACACCACTTAGTGAAGACTTTTTTGGTGTTTGAATTAAGACTAATTCAAACCGATGCTGCACTCACTTGGTTAGAGTAGGTAAAAATAGTTTATGTTGTTTGAGGCTTTTTTAAATGGTGTTGTTCCCCTTATTTCAGTTTCAGTTTGTTTGTCATTTGAATATAGGAGGACTGTTGGGTTTTGTGAGTTAATTTTGTATTCAGCTACTTTGATGAAAGTGTTTATCAGCTGTAGGAATTTCCTGGTGGAATTTTTCAGGTCACTATATATGCTATTATATCATCTAAAAATAAAAATACTTTGATTTCATCCTTTCAAATATATATCCTATTGATCTCCTTTAGTTGTCTTATTGTTCTAGGTCCTACTTCAATTACTGTATTGAAGAGGTATAGAGAGAGTGAACAACCTTACCTTGTTCCTGATTTTAGTAGAGTTGCTTTGAGTTCCTCTTCATTTAAGTTGATGTTGGCTGTGGGCTCACTGTAAACTTCACTTATTATGTTGAGGTACATTCTTTATTCCCTACTATTTCCATCACTTTTATCATGAAGGGGTTTTGGATTTTGTCAAAGGCCTTTTCTGTATATAATAAAATGATGATGTTGTTTTTGTCTTTCAGTTTGTTTATATAGTGGATTGCATTTCAGTTTTCAAATGTTGAGAAGTCATTCTTTTATTTTTTTTAGAGGTAAGGGCACATTTAATAGAACATTCTGTGATATCAATTAAGTTTTATAATTTTTAAAGTATATCATATGTTTCTCAGGGAGCAAGCTGTTTATAATGTATATTTGTGTGAATATATAATGAAAGTTAATTAGTTGCTACAGATCAAGGGTACCATGGCAAGGCGACTGACTTTTTCTCTCTTCCAAATTGAATTTCTATATGCTGAGTTGCAAAAGGAATCCAAAGAGTGCATTTATGTGAAAAATAGACTGTGGTCTCTAAAGAACTCTGGAATTTTATTAGAAGCAGTCATAACTTGCCCATATTAAGACAATCAATAAGCATATGTTGATTTATGGTATATATCAATATAGCATTAGTAAGATTTGGTAGTAGTTTACATTTAGGGATTTTCTTTTTTTGGGTTCCGTGATTTTTTACTAACTTTTTTTTTATTATGAGGCATTTTTTTATTTTAATCTTAAATAGCCAGTTTTACATGTCAATCCCAGTTCCCTCTCCCTCCCCTCCTCCCGCACTCCCCTCCCCCCCCACCCTCCCACCCTATTGCCAAATCCTTCCACATAGGGGATATCTAGAGTCTGTCATTTTACTCTGGGTAGGGTCCAGGCACTCCCCTAAGAGTCCAGGCTGAGAGAGCATCCCTCTTTGTGCTATAGGCACATGAAGACTGTTTGTATACCAGGGATAGACACTGATCCACAGCTCAGGGCCCCATAGGTTGCCCAGGCCTTCTCGCTGACACTCACATTTGGGGGGTCCAGATCAGTCCCATGCTGGCCTCCCCACTGTCAGTCTAGGGTCCAAGAGCTCTCCCCTGTTCAGATCAGCTGTCTCTGCTGGTTTTGCCAGCCCATTCTTTGCCAATTTGCTCATCACTCCTCTCATTCTTAACAATAGTGTCAAGGTGAATTTTTGTCAGTATGAGATGAAGAAATTAATCTTTCAAAGGACAGGAATTTAAGTGGGAGTTGCCTAGTTCTTCCTAGGCAAGAAAGATGTAGAAAGGAGGAAAATTCTGAGCAAAGACACAAAAGATATGGAGGCTACTGTGGCTTGAATGCAGATGTGAGTCTTCATGGGCAGAAAGCAGCACACAGGGAGGGATTCGAGGAAACTAAGAGAAACTGGAGAATAGTGATTTACTAAACATTGCTTATACACACGTGTCTAAATCTACTCCCCCTGTTTATCTATCATCTACCTACCCACCATCCATCTACATAGTCACAATTGATTTTTAGAATGTGGAGAAGGCACTAGTTATGCTATTAAAATAAGAATTTTTGAAGCAGTTTTGGCAATAAATAAATTCTGAACAATTGTTTTTTAGTTAAGAGTACTAAATATTTACCTTCAAGAAGCTCCTATATTGGAAATGAACCAAAGAATTACCAAAGAAAGGAGTACATAATATTTAGAAATTATGCATTTCTATAAAGACAGCATCACTTAAGTGAAATTAAACTTGACTTTATTGACTGGTTCTGAAATACTTTATTCCCTGTATAGACTAAGAGAGGGAGATTGAGTTACTAATTTTGAGGAGTAGTTAATAATATATATATATAAATATATATATCATAAATATACAAATATACTTACACTATAATTAATAATTTGATTTTCAATGTTTCTGAAGGAATAGACATACAAAAATGTAAACAGTGCTTAACACAGTTATGTACTTTTTATTTAACAAAAAGTAATGCCATCTAATAATATCAAAAGAGTCAAGTTAATTGCTCTTGACAGGTCTCTGAGTATAAATATAATTAAGTATGTAATATGAGTAAGGAAGGTACAGAAGCTTTGAGGACCAGTATAATACAGACCAAGTATTAGTTAGTGTAAAAATCCAATAGCAAACATGTTAGTATTTTTTCACAATACCTGTTTATATAGTATTATAGAATGATCCCTGGGCTTTGTGCATGCTAGACAAATACTCTGCCACATCTTCAACCACAAGTTTCTCTTAGCAGGGAGAAAATGTTCTGTTAGAAATATGACCAGGTGGTGGTGGTGAATGCCTTTAGTCCCAGCACTTAGGAGGGAGAGGCAGGTGGATCTTTGTGAGTTTGAGGCCAGCCTGGTCTACACAGCAAGTTTCAAGATAGGCTCCAAAGCTTCACAGAGAAACCCTGTCTTGATAAACCAAAAATAGAAAAAAGAAAAGAAATACGTAGATTAGATAAGGTGGAGTTAATGGCTGCAGTATTGAATTTCCTGACTGAGAGTGCATGTAGTCTTCCTTATATTCAGATGCTACTAGACCATTTATGATATCTCTTCATAGTGGTTATATTTTTTTAATTATATGATCTTCATGGACTTGTTTTCAGATTTTAATGTGTCTATATCATACATGAGTCATTCATTTTTAAATGAGCTTATGTCTATTACATCACACTTTGGTAAACGCAAGGCATTAAGAGGTGAATTAGTTCAGTGTACAGACCCTGAATGGCAGATGTCCATAAAAATACTACGGCTGTTAGTTTTATTAGATTTCACACATTCAGTATTGTGTGAAGAATTTGTTTCTAATATAAAACTAAAAAATGGCAGTTATGAAGAAGACTTTAATTACTTGTCTGTTTTTCTTCCTATATTGTCATTTTCTCTGCAGATAACTTTTGAAACATCAGAAACTTTTATTCTTAGAAAACTAACAACATACTCTCTAATTTTCTTTGTCCTAATGCCATAAACAATTGGGTTAAGAAAGGGTGGTACCAGAAGATACATATTGGCAATGAAGATATGAACTTGAGGGGCCACGTTGTGACCAAAACGGTGGGTCAGGAATGTAAAGACAGCTGTGGAATAGAAAACCAGAATTACACAGACATGGGAACCACAGGTCCCTAAAGCTTTAAGACTTGCTTCTCTAGAGGGGAGGCGAAAGACTGCACGGAGGATCAAAACATAAGAAAGGGCAATGAAGAAGCCATCACAGGAGCCAATGACAGAAGCCACGCTGAGGCTGTAACGTTTGGTAGCTCCTGTGTCCACACACGCTAGCTTCACTACAGCCATGAACTCACAGTAGGTGTGTGCAATGATCCGAGATCTGCAGTAGGGAAGCTGCTTGAGCAGGATGGGGTGTGGGGTGAAGAAGCCTACTCCCCTCAGCACCACAGCTACTCCCATTTGGGCAATACGATTGTGGGTGAGAATTATGGCATGACGCAATGGGTCACAGATGGCCACATAGCGATCAATGGCCATGGCCAAGAAAAAGCCAGATTCCATGGCAGTGAAGCTGTGGATGAAGAACATTTGAGTAAGGCAAGCATCAAAGGCAAAGTCATGAGCTCCCATCCAGAAGAGACACAGCATGCGTGGCAGTGTAGACGTGGAGAGGACCAGGTCAGTGACTGACAGCATGCACAGGAAGAGGAACATGGGTTCGTGGAGGCTGCGCTCTGCTCTCACCACAGCCAGGATTGTCACGTTGCCCATCACAGCCACTATGTACATGGAGCAGAAGGGAATCCCAATCCAGACGTGGAGGTGCTCCAGTCCTGGGATGCCCATCAGCCAGAAGGTGCTTGGAGAGAGTTGGGACTTATTAGCTGGCCCCATGGTGATACTGCCCAGTATTTGTAGATGAAGTCCTCCTTGTAAAGTGAGCATGCTTTGCTAAGGTTGTTAGAAACAACTCTGAAAGTGAATGAGAAATAAAGCTAGGGTATCCTAAAAACTCACAGTACAATAGTATGCAAACTTTCACAAAAGCAGTGGGTTCTCAACCTGTGGGTCATGATCACAGGGGTTGCTTAAGACCATCAGAAAACACAGACTTTTACATTACAATTCATAACTATTGTAAAATTACAGTTTTAAATTATCAATGAAAAAATCTATGTAGGTAATGGTCACCAGAACATGAAGATCTATATTAAAATTTTGCCATATTAGAAAAGTTGACAACCATAGAACTAGAGTGTAAAATACATCCTTAGTGACACTGGAAAAAAAACATGCACCCAGACATCAAAAGTTGATAATAGATCAAGTGAAGAATCTCAAAATTTTAAGAAACATTAAACTTATTTTGCAATTTGTGATAAAACAAATTCCAAGCTTATTTTATATTCAGTTTGTCTTAATTCTCAGAAACATTTGAAACTTTAGATGTTAGCATCATACCTAAATCTTCCTCCCTACCTCCTTCTCTCTCTCTCTCTCTCTCTCTCTCTCTCTCTCTCTCTCTCTCTCTCTCTCTCTCTCTCGTGTGTGTGTTTTCTAAACACATTATTTGTGTTCCACAGACTGTCCATTGGATCCTTATTTGCCAATACTGTCATAGACACTATTCCCAAGGGACATTTTCTACTATTGTACAAATGTGCAGTGTTTTCTACATGCCAGATTTTCTAAAATCTTCAAATTAACAAGAGTTTTCTGTTTTTTTAAGTAAAAATTTTCAATCCATATGATCCCATTATTTTAAACTTTAATTTCAGAAAATGTGGTTTCTGTTTCTTCTTTACTTCCACTATGCTGAACAAATTTGGTATAAAACAGAAACTCTTATACTTTTCTTGATATTTGCACATATGTGTGTTATCTGTCACCTTTTTTTTATATGAATTGAGGGAAGAGCATAATGTCTAGATTCTCCTGAAATGGAAAACAAGGCATAATCTTAGAATGTCTATATATGTTAATGCTTAGCTGAAAATTCTATGCAAAGTAAATACTTATTTTCATCTTGCAGGTATAGAAAAGGAGCTCAGAACCTTATAGATAATGCAAGAGCATCACGGAAGGCAAAGGAAGGCATCATGCACAGGAAGGTCCTGATCCATGAGAATTCTACTATACCGTTGACTATACAGTTCATTTTTTTCAGTGTGTTAAACTTAATTTTTCCTGTCACATATTACATTAAAAATTATGTAAAACAAAATTCTGAGATACCTATTAAAAATGCTCTGAGTTTTCTCTTCCAAATTTCGTAAAGGAATCATGTTGATGTGGGTGAAGTGTTGAAAAGGGAGCTACGAATGATTGCTTTTCTTTTTACCCCTCAGTTCAGGATACTTCTTTATGACCCAATATTTTTAGTCTAGAATTCATTGCTTGCTTTTTATTCTTTCTTATTTCTAAAGACTTACTAGTTTGAAAAATAACTGACTGAATAGTCATTTTTAGGGACAGAGCTTTATGAAACCTAAGACGTCCTCAAATTCTCTAGAGAAACTTAGGATGATTTTGAACTTTTTATCCTCCTGCTTCTACATCCCAAGTGCTAGGATTGCAGAGGTGTGCTACCAGGCCTAACACTAAAAACATATTTAAAACATATTTCTTAACTAATTTAACATTTCTAAGATGATATATAAGCATATAAATGTATTATGCATGTGAATGCCCATGATATTTGATATATGTATAAATATCAATGATCACAAGCATACAAAATGTCCTTATGGTGAAGGCATTAAAAAGTCTTTGATTGGGCTGGACAGATGGCTTAGCGGTTAAAAACTCTGCTCTTCTGAAGGTCCTGAGTTCATTTCCCAGTAACCACATGGTGACTCACAAGCATTTATAATGAGATTTTGTGCCCTCTTCTGGCCAGCAGGCATATATGTAGGCAGAATACTGTATACAGAATAAATAAATAAATAAATCTTATTAAAAAGTATTTGATTTCCTTTTGTAAAAGGCAATTAAGGTAACTAGGAGAATATATCAGTTTGGGTTGTGTTAAAAGAATGTTTCCTGCTTGTTCTTGCTCAACTGATCATCTGAATAAGGACACTTTTTAACTACAGGCCTTGATGACATCAATTTTTAATGCTAAAGAGGCCAAAACTAGTTGTTTCTGCATGCAACTGTCTCTGCTACCATGATCTGTCTTGGTCAAGCTACTGAGATGTTATTGTAATTCTTACCTTTATTGCTAATCATTCTATATAGCATAATTAGCTAGCAAGTAACTATATTTACTGTACTTTCAAAAAGGCTTTGAGCATTTATTTATGGTATTTATCCTTAACTTTGACACAGTTCTTCAAAGAATAAACATTACCGTTTTGAGGATAGCATTATTCTGTCCATACAAATGCAAGTGTAGCTCTCTTCCCCATCTCTGTTCTTATGTAACTATGTGAATAGCTGACCATTCTCCAGAGGTCCACCTTCTGTAAGAAATAGATTCAAATCTCATTCACCTTACATCAGCTGGACTTACAATTCATTCTGGGTTTCATCTGATTAAGGGTGTTGCTTAAAGAGCAATTAGTGGTCCACTGGGAAAAATGGTTATTTTCTGAAAAGACCAGAACTAAATGAATTTTAGGAAAAGTAATTATTATGAATATCTTTAAGATAACTAATGATGACATTGCCCTGATGTCATTTTGGTATTTTGATATTTAAATTTTTGTTGAATGTATCAAAATGAAACACAAATGAAGCAGTACCTATATATATATATGTATATATATATATATATATATGTACGTATATATCTTTTGAGAGCTTAGGTAAACTCTTTGTTAGGCTGGCGGGTTAATGTTTAAAAGTGTCTCTTCTCTGTTAATCTTTTTTTCTCAATCTTTTAAGTAATCTTTTGTAATAGAAAATTACATTTTAACAAATAAGGAGAAAGACTTATGAATAGACAATAAAAGGTAATGTCAGGACCTGAATCCAGACAGGTCTAGCTTCAAATATAGTTCTTGTAATTATTGGATCACTGAAATTAAAAAAGAAGAGTTTATTTGTCTAAATTCAGTTGCATGCTTTCTTTTATAAAGCACTTAGTTCAATGGATGATATCCCAAATGATCAGCAGTTGCTACTCAATCTGATTCCTGTTGCCAATCTTCACATCACCTAGATCACTCTTGGTTTATTTGAAACTTCGACAGTGTAAAACTTTGTGTCCTCTAGGCTAAGCTAGGCCCTGCTCCAAATAATGTAATATACTTTGAAGATTCCCCTTGGAAGGCCTCACCCTAACTGGGGAGTAGAAAGCAGAGAGGGTGGGACAGGGTGGTGGGGAGCAGGGGAGGAGGGGAGGGAGAGGAAGCTGGGATTGACATGTAAAACAAACTTGTTTCTAATTTAAATAAAAAAGAGACGGAAAAAAACCCAAACTTTGTATTGTCTTCTTGTTGAGCACTGCTTTGTGTTAGTGTTCTTCCTATTTTCTTTCCTCCAACATGTGTGTCCTGTGTGTTTTGAGATTAAAAACAGAAAGTCCCTGTTTAAGAAAGTGCTGATGTCAAGAACTAGAATCAAAACTGGAGAAAAAAAAGTGTCTGATGGGAAGGGGAGGGGAGAAGATGTGGAAGACAGTCAGGTATGGAAACAATATTTTCAAGGTTAATTTTATTTGCACATGAAATGATCTAATGCAACCCCTTAAAAAATACTAAAGAAAGAGTGGCCAATTCTACCTCTTCCAGCATTCATTTTGCTGCTTTTAGTTCTTTGTCTGGGGATTGTGCCCTATAAGACTCCCTCCACCATTCTGTGTTAACAAACCTATCAATATTGCCAATGTTCATGTTTTGTTTATATTGTCATTTCTAAGAAAGACTGTTTGAAAGCAGACTTTCTGGTATTGTGGCTGTTACCATATTTGACCTCCAAGCCATGGTCTTTTGAATAAATCCATAGTATCATAACTTCCTCCTTCAGAGACGTCAACTCCAGCTAGAAAAGAGTTGGTAATCTCAGAATAGTAATGCTATTATTGCACCAGGAGCATATATCCTGTCTGACAGGTTCTTACTTGTTGGGGTCCATAAAAATGGCTTTGCTTTATGTTGGTTTAAGGTCAGAGAGTTCAAAACTACCTGTACATTTCCAAGGTTAAAGTCATAAAACCTAAAGTTCTAAGATATGACTACTATAGGATGTCTGCTCTTAGGCAAGGATGTCTTATCTATATAAGAAGAGATTTGGTCTAAGGTGTAGTGACTCTTAACCCTTGAGGTCAGATAATGAGAGATTTAGTCTAAGGCTTGGTTATTAAACATTTGGAGAATTAAAGAAGAAACTCTGTTTCTTCCTTATTTCATGAGAAAGAAGTCTATTGCCATTTTCCCCTATTGGGTTGGCGTGCATAAGAATAAACTTGGGGCACTCAGCATTCACTGGATTGCCCTCTGTGTCTCTGTCTTTTCCACAGTGTCTTTACTGGCCTTTTCGTAATCCACCCCCTCCCTGTCCAGGTATGAACCAAAAAAGTTGGCTGGATTTGACTGAAGGCCCCCAAAGTCAGGTTACTTACAATTACTGTAGTGTTAAGTTCCACAGCAAGATAAAACCATTTATGACTTTTCCTCCTAGCTGCCTTATTAGCAACCTCCTCCACTATGAAAGCAGCTAGATGTTTCCCAGTTTAACCTCACCTCATCCATTATGATCACCACACACAATAGATTTTAGACTTTGTAGAACTCTGGGCTTGGATTGATTATCTATTGTTATTGAAATGTCTGACAATTCTCAGATATAGTTTTTTAAGTTCTCTCATGCTTCCCTACCACCAAGCAGGGTCTGGGAGGTATTTCTTACTTTATTCTCCATAACTTTTCTGTTTTTCCAAGCTTTTCAGT